AAGTAATTTTTATGCCGATATAATTCATTGAAAATGGCAAAATTACATATCAGGGAGATATAGGTAATAAACAACTGTTCATGTTAGAGTTGCTCGAGTCGTATTCACGTTAAGTTGGACTCCAACATTAATTCGTCAAAATCTATTTGTGCATTCCTTCGGATCATTCATTTGCAATCAATACGCAAGATTGAACACTGTTAATATCTACAAAAAATGCAATCTGTCATTCAAGACTTACCCAAATTCACATAGGTACATTTTTACACAAGGAATTATGTACAGTACCTATGTGCATATTTGCATATGTTCATTTTTCTAAAAAAATATTTCATTAAAACCTGATTCAATGTTTTTCAAGCACCGCAGTTGAAATTGAAGCATTATTATGTCGCATAACTTTACGTTTAATTGGCATCATTTTTTGCTTGGACAAGGCATATCGAAACATTCCTGGACATGTTCAGTTCAGTCGTGCATGCAGTGCATCTCGCGTGTACGCTATTTGCACGAAATTCAGGACTGAAATGCAGAAGTTATGCCTGTTTAATGATTTAATTGTCAATCAGTGAGTTTGGAAAATTTTTTTTCGAAATAATAAGCTTATCGACATAATTTATTCTTTATTATTAATACACAAAATTTCGTTTTGTAAAATAACTTATGTAAAAGCAGTTAGTGAAATAGTGTGGGTCTCCAAATAAATCATCTGACCCGAGCAACGTAACAGAAGATTCACTCACAAGATGGAATGCCCCGTTACACCACCATCAATCACGCGATCCGCAACCACAACTTTACCACAGCATCATCATGTTGTTGCAACATTGGCCTTTTTGTAACATTTATTACCTAACAAATCTACGGTAAAACATGCAACACATTGCATTTTTAATCCGTTCCTTTTCAAATCATATCCATATTAATGTAGTCATTTTTGTCAAATCCATCTTGAAGATAATCAATTTTTGTTTTATAGTTAAAGTGTTTATTTTTTCACTTTTTATCATTATCAAAATATATTCCACTCCTCTCTGCTTTGTTAATGAAAATTGTAAATTAAGTTCATTTGTTATTCTTGACATCATGGTTATCATTTGAGAATTCCAAGTTCCACCTGACAAGTGATGCAGTTTCACTTCATAATCTTTCCACTGGTAGTACAGGATACGAAACAAGATTTTTAAGTTACACCTAATTTTAGTCTCACTGAATATTGCAACATCTTGTTTAAGATTTACTTTAATTTGGCATTAAGATTTCAATAATTTGTTTCAAAACCAGACCTTCATTCTGGCATTTATAAAATCACCTGTTTGATTTCCGTTTAAAATAAATTCTGGCCGATTAAAAACCTGATCCAATAAAATTCATTAATTTTTTTGTTTTCTTCAATGTGTTTTGTTTCGACTTCAAATCAATTGATCCGTCCACAGTTCACACGAATCTGTCTCAATTTTAGCGTCAACTAGCGAGCGAACAAATGAAAGTGCAATGAAGTGATATGAAATCTTTGGAAATTTTTTGAATCGAAACGTTATTTGTCATGTGGTTAGTAAAGCCCCAAGCAGAGAAGATTTTCCTAAACCGCTACCACTCGCAGCCGCAGAGTTCACGTCCGCAACCGCCCGGGCCATCTTAGTCTCGTGTTTAAAATTAGAAGGTAGCAACACTAGAAGGCAGTCTATTTACAATAAAATTATAATCGGATAATCTGCTGAGATGGCATCTTTCAATTTAAAAAATTTCTAATTTAATAATTGAAATAACATCTGCTAAAACAACAAGCACAAAATGAACGACGATGAGGAACTCGAAGAAGCAATTTATTTAATATTTATGAAGATGTTATAATTATATATATATATATATATATATACGACGTTTTCTAAACCCAGCTAATAACCCAGATATACGTAATTCGATAGGTAGGTTGTTTTAAAAAATAGGCCCAGAAACTGCAAAATCTCTATCTGTTGTTTTCAGATTCCGATCTCTAACATACAGCGTGTTTGAATCAGCAGACCTTAGACGCCCATGTGATGACGTAGATGAAACTCAAATACATTTATCTTCTAAATATTTCGGAGCCAGACCATTCAAACTTTTACCATTACACACAACTTGAACATGATTCTTTGTTTAACATGCAAAAACTCCTTTAGAATTGGTGATGCATGATCAAATTTTAATTTGCGGTATATCATTCAGCCTGATTCTGAACCATCTGAAGTTTAGACAACAGTTTATCAGCTATGCCATATAGAAGACTGTTACAATAATCCAATCTAGAGTTGACGAAAGCATGTACTAATAGAGTCATTGTATCTCTATCTACCGATTTTGTGACTTGACGTAATTGACGTAGTTGGAACATACATTTTTTAACCAATAGACTGACTTGTGGACCCATTGTCATACGGGAGTCCATCACAATTCCCAAATTGGTGACCGTTTTACTGAAACTTATATCAGTCATACTGATGTTAATCGAGGAAAGCTCAACTGCTGACGTTTGTTGCCATGTACAAGCCAACATGAACTGAGTCTTTGTCTGATTCAACTTTAGCCTACTTTGACCCAGCCACTAGCAGACATCAGATATAATTTTTGTCAGTTTCTCTAATACGGTCTCATGCACGTACATTATCCTAACAAACGTAAAAACAAAATTTTTCAATCTAAACATTTTTAAAAATTGAAAATTTAATTTTGCGCACAGCACAAACAAAATTTGCAAAGCGCAAAATCCGCGGAGTTTTGAGAATTTTTTATCCGCAACCGCGGTTGCGATGCGTTAACGCGGTTTGAAACCGCATTGCGGGTATCCGCTTGGAACTCAAGTGGTAAGGATGGATTCGTTTCGTACATATATGTTCAATTTGTTTGAAAAATTGCAAGATCGAAACGTTTTTTGTTTGTAAAAAAAATTTGTATTACAATTTCTATGACGTTGGCTTTGAAAATGATATCAGAAATGATTGAGATACCTTATTGTAATTTAAAAACCGAGGTGAAAATAGGCCCAACAATTACCGTCCTTAATTGAAAAGAAGTTGCATAGAAGCTTGAACTATCATCTTCAATTAAATATAATCATGTCGTTGTCTTGATGCAAAATAATTTTGATGTTATTTTCTTTATGCCAATTTTATTAAAAGTGCATCTTTGTTGTTTAATTGCATTATTAGGTTTTTATTAATTATTATAATTATTACAGTTGCGCCGTGGAGTCAATGTTTTGAAAAAAATATTGATACAAAGCAATATATATTATTATAAATATAATAAAATATCAATTAAGCGCAGATGAATATTTAAGTCTGAACGATCAATTTTTTACACTCGTACAATCATATTTTGGAGTTAATTTAAGAATGGATAACCACCAAAAATTTGTAATTTCGAAATGAACCGGGGACAATGTCATCAAATTCTTATCCAAACGTATGGAGGAAAGTGATCTTATCAGATGCTGAACAATATGATGACATTTTTTGACTTTTAATCAGCATCAATATATTAAAATTGTTTGAAATTTAGAATAATTTACACGTATATATGAATAAGAATTGATTTTAATTTTAAAATAATATTTATCGTCTAAAAAACGAGTGCAAAAAATGTTCTTACACTCCATTGAAACGTCTACTAATCTGAACATAAAAGAACTGCATTGTAGTGATAAAACATGGATTGTTTTTAAAACAAATGACTCGAAAACACAAGCTACATACAACATATGTCCTGATGTTATTGCTTAATTAGAGATGTAACAACAGATTGACAAGACAAATTAAATTTAATCTCATTATCTCAGTATATTTTGTTTAATTAAAAATAAGTCGATTGTTGTTTTGTTTGACTGTTGGAATGACATAAAATAGACATGATAAATATTGGCTCGAATATCTACAATTAAGAAGATTCAATTATTTTAAAATAAATACAGATACCCTAACAGTTAATTTTTTAAGGAAATGAAAAGAAAAGGCACTTGATAGCACATAAACGTAAAAAAACATCTCACTAAATATTTTTTCAATTTGGATGAAAACTTATAAGTTTATATTTTAAAATAAATATAAACATACGTTTCTACTTTTATAAAAACCTAAACACATTTTTTTACTACAAATTTAAATAAAATAACATTTTTACAAAAAATCTCTGTAATAAAATTGTTTAGTCTATAAAATAAATAATAAAATAAAATAAACCTCAAAATAAACGTAAATAAAAAAATAAATGTACTAATTATAAAAAATTTAGTTGATAAAATGTAAGTCGGCATTAAAAAAACACAATAAGTTATTACAACCAAATGGAATCATTTACATCAGAAATTTTTAAGACGATGCAATCTTATTGCAAATATCAGAATTAATTATCAAGCCATCCTACATTCAAATTATCAAATAGAAATTAAAATATTCACCAGTCATATACCCAGTTACATACATAACACACAAACACGTACGCACACAGACAGACACACAAACACACACGCACGCACACACACACACACATATATATATAATATATATATTATATATATATATACATATAATATATATATATATATTATATAATATATATATAATAATATATAGAATATATATATATAAACATACACATATAATATATATATATATAATATTTAATATATAATATATAATTAATACTATTCTGATTCTGTGCGTTATCATTTGTATTATCTGATAATGATTTGGTGATATTGACAAAATAGTTATTAAAAGTGTTACATATTTCAGTTATATTTTCGATTATTATCTTATATACATATAAAATATATATACATAAATATATAAATATATATATATATATATAGAATTTGAATATTTATACAAGACTAAATCTATATTAATATGCATGTGTTTATCAGAGAAATGAAAACTTTCTTTAAATATCAAGCATAATATATGATAGTTCATGCAGTTTGGAGATTATTTATAAATTGTCAAAGGAACTATTATTCATCAGCATACTTCATCCTTTTTATCAACATCCCTATCATCACAACTATCATCTATCCCGCTTTGGTAACAATCACTTTCATTCTGGCCTTGATTATTTGAAGGCAGTATATGATTTTTCTTAGGTGAACGAGTGGGATAATGCGACAATAATCGATATTGGACCGGTGAACTAGAATTCGGTTGACATTGGTTGACAGATTTCAATAAAACGTTTTTGTTTTTTTCAGAAATGGTGGCAGATTTCAAATAATTTCCAGTCGAGGACAAATTGCGTCGAACGTTATGGAAGTTGTTTTTCAAAGTGACGGACACATTATCAGAACATTTGCCGATATTTTGTTGAGCCACATTTGGCGGCGTGTTAGAACTGCCTGTTGGTGTATTGACTGGACTAGAAAATTTTGACATTGGTGAATTTCTGCTTGAAAGGTTTCTCAATGGCAATGTTATTGGTGGAGGTGAGAATGACGTGGTTCGAACTAACAAATCCTGTCGTTCTGGATCAGTTGTGAGTTTGATACTGCTCCTACGTACCCACACTATACTCTCCGAGTCACAGTTGTTGTTGTTGTTTGTGTTGTGTTCGTCAACGTTGTTGTTATTGTTTAAATAATCATTGTTATTGTTGTCCACAATGTTGTTGTCACACATGTTGTAGTAATCATCGTACCTGATATTTTCAGCTGTGGTACGAGCTGGAGGCACTGGTTGATTATAATACTGAGGAACGTTTTGTAGGATCATTGTTGGAGAGTGTTGTTGTTGTAGTTGTTGAAGCTGTTGAAGCTGTTGATGTTGTGGGGAATTCTGCCAATGAAAGTGCTGTTCAGGAGGGTTTTGACGTTGTTTATGGTGTTCTTGGCAAAGTACTTCTTCCTTATTTTGGCGGTTTGGTATTAAGTAATTTTGTTTTTGTGACTGGTTTCCGTTTGGAGCATGTTTTGAATTATTAGAATCAATATTTTTGGAAAATGTATGATAGTGCTGATTTTTTTGTAACCTTACCATTTGTTGATCTGGTAGATTAATTTTAGACTCAGCACAAATCGGATGTGAATCTTGCTGTAGAGACAGAAAATCATTTGAACCTTGAGAATGTAGATGTACAGTGGCACTTGGTATTAGTAATTTCAAATGAGCTTCCTTGGTTGAACTTTTATATTGACTAATTGCATCTCTTTGTTGTTCAATTGAGTAATTTGAATTTGGCATTTGTTGGAGATGATGAGGTGTGTGGAATCGGTGCATGGAAGTATGTTGCATTATGATCCGCTGTTGCTGCTGCTTTATAGTATAACGTTGGATATCGTTTTGTGAATGTTCAACAACTTGATGATGACGCAATTCGTGTTGAAGTATTAATTGCTGTGGATGCTGCAGTTGTTGTTGTTGTTGTTGTTGCTGCTGCAGTTGTTGCTGTTCAGGTATTGATGAATGTTTAGGTATGCTGCCCAAGACTGGACTCTCGTTTGGTGACTCAACGTGAACAAACACGTTCGTACCCCATCCAGGAAACATGGGGCTCGATGTTATGGACTGAGGTGAAGATGATTTCTGAGGAGGACAACCTTCGTGAAAGGTCCAACCACCAGATGGTGCTCTCTGCAAACCTCTACCTCCAATGTCAGAGTTCGTTGCATCTGGATGAGTTCTGCCTCCTCTGTTGTCCTGGATGTTTTTGTTGGCTGTTTGTTTTTGTTTCTTGTGAGTTGATGTCCCTTCCATCTTTTTCTTCCTACCAAGTGATTTGGACGGATCGTCGTTGTTGTTATTGTTGCTGTCGACGTTTGAGGAGGACAATCCAGTTGGGCGGATGTTGTTTCCAGAGGTCGATTTAGCGTGTTTTAATTTTGTTCTGAGAAGGAAAATAACTACAAACATCAAGCTGATCAAGCCAACCAATAATCCTATTACTCCGTAGAGGTAAGCCTTCTCGCTGTTTCCTGTTTTATGCAAAGTACAAAAAAAATTAACATAAAAAATTAAAAGTATTTAGTATTAATTTTTAAAATTTTTGAACGAAATGCAGAGGTAAAAATTTTTAATAAATATTTATTGAGAATATTTAAAAACAAACTTTTGCCAAAAAGATTTGAATGTATTTATAACACAACAAATTAATGTCAAATATAAAACAACATGTCACTCTTATCAATTTGTCACAAGAAAGCCAAACAAACCACATAAATTATCAGAACTTTCAAAATCAGATCCGTAAAATATAAAATAGAGTCCGTTAAAGTAGAAAGTATTAAATGATGATAAACAAACCTCTGAGAAAGGATAACATTTTTGATAAACTGATAAGAGAGTGAGTGAACACGTGGAAACGATTCGGATCGTCATGATTTGTAGTCAGGTTCTCATCGTGGTAAGATGTCAGGGGGTCCTTAAACTGAATAAGTGACGATGACAACGACAAAGATTTTGTTGATGTGGCAGGGAAAGATGTCGGAAGAAAAGATGACAGCGATGTCGCTATATAAAGAAGTGATGAGTTCATTTTTTGTGAAGACCCTGATATGGTGTTGATGCTCTGATTGACTCACCAGGCCGATGATGATAAATAAGGCATGTTGTTATGATGTGAAACTGTCAGGTACGCTCTCTCGATTGTTAATCATCAGGTCATCATCAAATCTTTAAAATTTTGCCAGATGATTTCTAAATGGCATACGATCATCTTTGGCAAAGCAACGCAAATATTGCAAGCTAAAAAGAATTTAAAATAAAAGTTTAAGTTATTTAACATGCCGATAGTTATTTAAAGCATATAATTATCTTTTTAAAAATGAAAAATTACTCATACAGCAGACATAATGCATAAAAGTAGAAAACAGTTGGTTAATGAGTTTGAAATATCGACACGTGATTAACATATATTTGCATTCAAACAGCTGATAGACATGATTATACGATTTCGCAAGAAACCGCATAAACATGCATTTACACACACACACACGCGCGCGCACACACGCACACGCACACATGTACATGTGCACACATATGTTCACGTACAAACGTACATACACACACATACATATATACAAGCACATATAACACATAACTTGCATAAACACATACACACACAACACCTGGCCTGCATGACCAATCCACCACCTTCCATCCAACGTTGGAGTAAAAAAAAACAACACGCACTTATTTATGCTAATGAGGATGAGTCTACTGGCTGTTGTTACGAGCTGGTTAGCGTTTTACACACACAAGCACGCACACACACATACGCACACACAAACACACCACGCACACACACATACGCACATAATTCTTTATTTATATGTTTATATATATATATATATATATATATATATATATTTACACACACACAAATACATATGATGAGTAATGTACACATAAATAAAAACACACCTAGCTTCTTGTATGTTTTTCACACAAAGTTCGACTGCTTGTTGAGAGGATTGAAACACAAATGCAAATTAATGCAAATAAATGCTTGCTACGGGTGCGCCTGTACTTACATGGAGATGAATTTATAAAACTAGAAAAAAGTGATATTTGAAATTTAAATATTTGTGAAAAAAATTTATTTTTGTGCGGTCCGTGAACGTTTTGATTTTGATGAAGTGTAACAAGTGAGGGGAATGATAGTAAATGATAAGTACTAAATTAAAACAGATTAAATTATTTTTAAAATTTTTAAAAACTGCAACCAGTAAATATGAATTAAGTATCAAATTATCATATGAAGTAATCATTTTGAAAATCGATATTAATCGATCACGTATTTTATAAACGCCAGAACCTGGACGAAGCACGTATAAACGTGATCATAATTCATATCGGTCCATTTGAACTATGGAGCCATAAATACTCAACACGCCACTGTAAGATTTTGCTGAAACATAAGAAGCAAGGACACTGAATTGCTGAAGCCATCATTGCACAATATATCTCTCAGCAACACATCTCACATAATTCACTCCAAAAATAAACAGATAAATAATTTTTAATAATTATATGTAATCTCTATGAAATTTGCGCCATCAGGTGATGCATAATGATAAGTAGAGCTGTCATTGCGATAATAATTGTTATAAAAACACACTGGGGGAAGAGAAACAAAGAGAAATTAATGACGAAAAAATAACTTTTTCCCAACTGAAAACTTGAACTAACTACTTTAAAACATGGCAGATGCATTCATTCGCTCTTTTTGAGTTATAAACGTTGTTATCAAAAATATAGTATAAAAAATACAGTAATTTTGTGGCTGTTGTTGTCAAGTAATTAAAAAATGAAGAGATCGAACTATTGTTCGTTTTTTCTTCTTCATTGTTAAGAAAAATTCAAAACAAATGTTTGTTCTGTCAATAGAATGGTTTAAGATTTGCAATCTGTTAGCAAGCTTGTGCTGGTCGAGAGATTTATTGATCTGTATTATTAATAACTAAGCAACATTAAAAACGGTAAATCATCTCTGCTTTATGCATCAACCGCTCAGATCTCAATTGTTTATTCGTTTAAAAACATTTGCGAAATTACCGATAGCGAGATTTTAAAAAATTACGATTAACAAATTAATAACACACACGTAGTAACGATACATGGTACGTAATGTAACACGCACATTTTAATACACACGTTCATTTCAACGGCTGCTACAGAAGAAATAATAAATTACTTTAATTATTTGAACCCGACCATAATAAATCATCGTCCTGTCCACCATTGAAAATATGAATGTATGTAATGTAATGTACTACTGCTACTGAATGGATGCATTTTTTTTATTCACGTTAACATTTTTTTAAATTTTAGGAATGTGAAACCTTTTTTATGACAAATACGTGATGGAAAAACAATTTTAAAATAAGATAACTTAAATTTTCTATTATATTTTGTGATCATTTATTGTTGTCGTTGTTATTATCACTATCATCATTTATTCTACTTACACTCTGTTGAACCTATACAGCAATGTTTAAGCAATAAATTAATTCAGAGAGCTACGTATTAAGTTGTCAGTACATGCGGTGCTCTGTGTGTGTTTGTGTGTGTATGGTGTGTGTGTAAGTATGTGTGTGTGTGTGTGTGTTTGCGAGTGTGTGTGATATTATATTCTATTTTAAATAACAAATTCTCGGATCAAACCAGTTATAGATTTCAAAGAACAATAGTTTATATACAATATGCATATTCTATTAATTATAGTTTATTCAATTTATTCTAAATGTTGGTATAAAAAATACCACAAAGTGATGAATGCTTGATTAAAAACAAAAGATTTTTGCATTTCTTACTTGCATTGCGTGTCTGTGTGGCATTGTTCTTATGAAGCCATGTCATGAGATTTCAAGGCTGTTTGTTTGTTTCTTTCTTTCTTTGCTCCTTTCTTGGTTTACTTGTTTGTTCGTTTGTTTGTCTGTCTGTTTTTGTTTTTATTTGTATGTATGCATGTATTCATAATTTTCTGTTTTTAGTTTTTTGTCTGTGTGTTTATGTGGTTTTACACTTGCTAGTAAAGCAGATATGTTTGGCTTTTTTGATGGTTAGCAAAAATAGAGAGAAGGAAAAATATGGAGAGAGATGGTGAAGAAAGTAAGAGAGAAAGGCGAGAGAGTCCATAAGTGATAATTGAATCCTGCAAGATGTTAAGAAGAAATGATGAGAGAAAATGAAGTTTTTTTTGCTGCGTTTGTGGGGATAATAACGTTGACGGTGATGATGATAATGATAGCAAGATGATGATAATGATGGTAATATGATGATGATATGATAAAAAGTTAGATAATTTGTGGTGATGATGATAATAAAAATGTTATTGTAAAAGGATGATAATGATGACGACGATTTTGAAATGACATTGTTGAAGACGACGGTAATGATGTTTTAATCATCAGCATTATTGGAGCTCACTTCGTAACTTTGCATATGCATATACACTACATAGCATGATGTTGTTCTAAACTCTAACGCACATATGATGATAATATGAATATCCTTTTGAAAAATACGGAAAATGATAATATCTGAAATGATCTTGATGATACTAATGGTAATGACAGTGGTGGTTTAGTTTGTAAATTATGATGCTTACAAACTCCATAAGATCTTTCAAACGTGTACTAGAAGAAGATATTTCGAACATCAGCAACAACATGGTTAACAACGATGCGAGAGATTACAACAACACGTCAAAACAGTTGCAGTAGAGATAGGAAAGAAATGAAAAATCACTTTTTTGAAAAAATAAACCATTGATTACGAGCTGTCAATCAATCTCCGTCCGACTCGTTACGAGCATCAGCCCTGTTGAGAAAGTGTAATTTTTATTGTAACTCTGACGGTTGAGCCGATGATATTTTACTTGCAAAAATTATTTTACATTCACTTTAATTTTTACTTGCATGTGAATCTTTTTACTTTACTTTTATTTATAGTATCGTAATTTATAATACTTTTGCTATTCTTACTTTCGGTGAAGTTCTTTCTACTTTTGCTTCCATTTTACTGTTACTTTTCAACTCGCCATCAGTGTACAACAATCGACAAAACTGTTCAAAATCATTTTACTTCAATTTTGCTTGTAAAGAAAATATTTTACTTTACTCTTATTTCTACTTTTCATGATCAATTTATTTGAAACTTTTATTTTTACTCAAGCAAATCAAATCATTTTACTTTTACTTACATTTGAGTGAACGTCAGATATGCTCTAGAATTTCAAAACATATTTCGAATTTGAATAAGTTAAAAATCATTTTCGTCTGAATTTTGCATTTAAAAACATAAATATCAGCAAAAATAATACATTTATATGGTAAATGGTGGTCTAAAGTAAATCACATTACTTCAAACAAATTGGTAAGAGAGGGAAACAATTTCAAATAGATAATTATGAAAAGGAGATGGAAAGATGAAAGGGTTAGGTGAGGTCAGGCTGTGGTGGAGCTGCAGCTGTTATGAAACTTTATCATTCAACTCATTAGATGGAGAAATCTGTAAAAGATTGGAGAGATGAATGGATGGAAAATGGTTATGAATGGAAGAGTGAACTTTTGAACTTTATGCTCATTAGAGGATATTTCACAATTTAATTTTTACATAATTTTATAGTAATTTCAAATGGTATTTTAAAATAAGTTTAAAAAATGTATTGTTAAAATATTTTATAATAAATTAATTTTCCTTGGGCTTTCCATGATAAAAAGCGAACATATGCAGCAAATATTCTGAAACAACTCCGCAATTGAAATTCATCGCGAATAATTTAACATAAAAATTGTTTAACGTCAATTAACATTGAAATAATAAATACAAAAAGATAATTGTTGAAAATATATAACCCAATGAAAATTACAAAGAAATCTGAAAAACATTTTTTTTTATTTTAAATGATATAATTGTTTCATTTAAGTATTCCATTTCATCAAACTTTCTCGCATTAGGCAGCCAACAGTTAACAAAATGTTTATAAAGAAGCTACACAAACTTCACAATCATCAAAAATTTATGTTTGCT